CACACACACACACACACACACACACACACACACACACACACACACACTCTGTCTCTGAGCTGCACACACACACTTCAGGTAAAGTACTGGAGGGTCAGCGGTGAATAACATTCCTCCAGACTTCAGTATATTGTGTTACAGACTTCAGGTCACCACGGTGTGATCACGGAGCTATTCCAACTATTCACAAGTTTAAAGTGGAGGAAATAAGAGCCAGTACTCCCTTCATTCACATGTTGGCGTTTGTATCGGCTGGTATCAGCAATCCTTATTACAATCTCAGTTTCTTGGCATTTCTTGGCATTAGAACATTATTAGGTTAAATATTTGGGATAATTGCGACTGGCAAATACTATAGTCTCAGTAAGTTCCTGCCTTCAGAACACCTTTAAGACCAGACTGTGTTTGGAGGAGGTACATTTCAAGCACTGAAGTAAAATCTAAACCTGGATTGGAGTTCTCTAGATAATTGTGAAACGCTGGTTGTTTGTCTACAATATAACCAGAAAGACTTGAAGACGCCCGGAGCACAGAGACAGCACAGAGTGCAGGCTGGCTTCTCTCCAGTCGCTGCTGTCTGTTCATTATGTGACCTCCCTCCCTAGAACCCGGATCAGTCCTCTCAGCCTTCACACACGTTTGAGAGAAAACACACATCGTACAACTGTGAACCATCTGCAGGGAATGAATAACGTGTGCAGTCCCACTGAAGAACAAACTGGGGGAGAGGTCTGAGAGTTCACCAAAGTATTCACTGGTCTTTTCAATGGAGAGTCCATGTTGTTTAATTAGTAAAGAAAACAACGGGAACAGGTTTAAAATGTTAAATGTAATTGGACCATTATTGTCCAGTAAGATTAGTTATTTGTAACCCTCTGTGCATGCATTTAATTTAGAGAGACAGAGACAGAGGTATGACGCAACAAAGGCCCCAAGGATGGAAGAAAGTATTACAGCTAGCTTAGCTTAGCATAAAGACTGGAAACAACAGCTAGCCTGGCTCTGTCCAGAGGTAACTAAATACACCTACCAGCACCTGAAGAATTCACAAATTAAGTTATATTTTTAAAAACATACAAAAACCAAGTGTGAAAACAACACAATGTGGTTTCCCGGTGGGTTATATACCAAGCTAGCTGTTTCCATCTGTTTCCAGTCTTTATGATGAGCTGCAGTCTGTTTCTACTCAATGACAGAATACAGATCTGTCTTGTGTTATGATCTCTGCCTGTATAAACAGTTGTAAGACACAGTTGAACCAGAATCAGATTTTATTGGTGGAGTCGAGCGATTCTACTTACTTGTAGAAGTTCTTGTTGACTTTCCTCTCATGAGGGAATCCCAGCATGCCGCAGACCACGTGTGTGTTTTTGATCGTCCATCCCAGGTCGCAGATCTGCGCCCAGCCGTCTCTGTACTTCACCTCCACCACGCCCTCCGTGATGGGCGGCTTCTTTCTGGACATGGCCACCACGGGCCGGAGACGCACCTCCTCTATCTTGTTCTCATCGACTTGAGCCTGTTAATTACAATAAAATAAAACCTTAATCCTATTACACATCTGCACCTAAATCTTAGTATGTCTTCCTCTCGTATCTTTTAGTGTATATTTCTTTAAAATCTTCAATGAAGACAGTTAAATGACATTAAGAGGCTTTAGTTTGCAGATAAAAAGGTTGTTTTCTTTATAATGCTCATACTGACACATCCATGCACACATATGCACGTCTCTCTAACACTCTTGAACGAGGGGAACAGACACAATGACTCACAGCTGTTACAGAGTGATTTTAGGTCCAAACAGCTCACAAGTGGTAAACGTGACTACCTCTGATTGCAGCTTTGCAGTGAGTCACTTCCTCTGTGGTTTATTTGGAAAAGAAAAGCAGGCCTGTGGTCACACACTGAAGTCTGGACGCCACATCTGGCTGAGCCTGAAGAGGGAGAGTAGCTGTGCCTCTGAAAGGCCGCCCACTTATGAAACGCTTATGAAACATTTTTCATAAGATCCTTCTATGTAACAGAGACGCCTCCTCCAGTCATTCAAGCCCAGTCTGCGGAGGCCGAGTCCCCGCTCTAACCTTGTTCACCTCGGACCAGTCGCTTAAACAAATGAATATCAAAGAAGGAGATAGCCGGCATCCCACCCAACAGTGCTCTCTTTAGATTAAGGTTCAAAGGTTCCCTCAGGTCTGAATGTGTATTTATCCAAAGAGGTTTGATTGAAACACTGCTTCACATTCAGCCATCATTCCCACCTGAGAGCACATGAATACAAACACTTATAATCGTTCCACTGGAGGAGGTGGGAGGGACTGACAATGAGTCAATGTCATTAGTCTGTCTATATAATGTTCTCTTTTCTTTTACTATGGTTATTGTGACCGTATTTTAAAAAAAAGTATTTGGAAATAAACTGGTTTCTTATTCTGATGTAATGAGAATCACTTCTTTGAAATTAGGTGTGTAACGATATGAAAAATGTACGAAAAATGAAATATTGATCATGTCTTCCTTCCCAGACGCCCCTCACACAGATTAATGTAGTTAATATACAGTAAACATATGGTGACGTCATCCTTAAACCCTAACTGGGAGTTGCTGATGAAGGAGTGGACAACATCACGACAGCAGAAGTTTATCATCTGACCCGGTGACCGGAGTTCACGACCCCGCTGACAGTCAGCTTTCATGTGATGGAGGCCACGTCAGGTTTACCGAGGAAGCTCCTCACTCACTGCGAGGAGGACAACATATATGGAGAGCCTGCTGCTCTTAACAGGCTCACACACATGGTATAGAGCATCAACAGCATGTGTGTGGCAGCTCCAGGTGGAGAAGCACCGAGGCGATGAATGTCTTCCATGTGGGTTGAATCTTACAGTCTACAGGCTGTGGAGCCCAGTTTATGGGCTTTTAACAGGTTCAGAATGAACATTATCTTTACTGCAACAAAATGACAACTTACGTCAATAACATTAGAATCCACGAAGCCGGGGATCCTCTCGTCTTTGCACACGACTCCGGCATCCTCGTCGTGAGAGCAGTCGCTGTTGCCCCAGCCACGCGACTTGCAGAACTCAATGCTCTTCTCTCCTCCGCTGCACTGCACGTTGTCCAGCCAGATCTTCCCTGAACAGGCAGCAGACTGTTAGTGTGGCCCCAGCACCCTCCCAGGCCTTTCAGAAAATGTATTTATTCATGTATTTATTTAGTGACCAGGGACAGTGCACATTAATCAACATTTCAGTTCTTCAGCTCAATGTAAATGTGCTGAAGTTAGCTAGAGAGCTACTTTCCGTCTGTAGTCCCTCAACATTTAAAACTGGACACCACCGTGAGCTTTCCTCCTTTAACAGAACATCAGGCTGATGAGTCTCTGTGGGTTTCATTGTAACGAACATACAGATGTAAACATGAGCTGCTCAACAAATCTGATAATTGGGCCATAAATAACTGTGTCATCAGCGTACATGTGAATGTTGACAGATGGGCAGACTAAAGGCAGGTCATCAATGTACATGCTAAACAACACAGGGCCCAGTATTACCAGCATTAAGTAAGCAGTCCAGGCCTGGAAGATGCACTTGGTGCTTATGGCAGCAATCTCTCCACAGTTGCTTTAATGAAAGAATCGACTAAAAGTCTCGAATGTAAATGTGGTCCAATATGTTTTAAAGTACCCTGAATAAAGATGAGGGTTTCTAATTTTCCAAAATGAAGAATTACAGGATATAGGTGAGGACTGCCACCTACAACTGCCAAACTTTAAACTGTTTAAACATTACTTTGACACACAGAACTCTATGATTGCACTATCTGAATATCCTGCGTGATATCCAAACATGTGAGCATCATAAATGCCCATATGTGATGGCACACAGTGTGTTAAGTGGCCGAGGTCACTCTTACCTTGGCCCTTGCCGTATTTGGCGCTGTGGGTCCATCCCGTGGCCGAGACAAAGCCCAGTTGGCGACAGAGCACGTTGGCGTTATGTATTGAGAAGTCGTCGTCACAGATGGTTCCCCACTCCCCCTTGTAGAAAAGCTCCACCCGACCCTCGTTGTGTTTTCGGGGGTATCCGGACAGTCTGACCTTTAGCCGTGCGGTCTGGGACTGGGGGGACGGGGACGGTGTGGGCGATGGCGAGGGCGTCCGCGTAGGTGTCCGAGTGGCTGCGTTTGATGGCGTCGTCTGGGCCAAACAGCAAGGTAACCACAACCCAAACAGAAGGCTGAATGCTAACCGTTGCCTGCGTCTTGACTTCTCCATTATTTCGGCTGCACATGAAGAAAAGGATAAGAGACATCTTTCAATGTTTCAATTTCAATGAATTAAGGAGAAACCAGCTTCTACAGATTAGACAGTACAGAGCCCCTAAAGGGACACGGGCCAAAGGTTTCTGCTGCATCAGGAAATATCTCACGGGCACGAGGAGACACTGGCTGAACTCCTGAGAGCACAGAATATCATCAGACAACTAAAAGATAATAAGTTAAACAATCACACCTTTCACTCTTACTGTACACAGTGCATCCCAGACCGTTTCATTATATGAGCTACTGATGTCACATTAGAGGTTTGGGAACTTTGCTCATCAGTTTCCCTCTGTTACCAGTCTTCATTGCTAAGCTAAGCTAACCGCATGCTGACAGAGTGTAGTGTATTTCTCTTCCTTTATGGCGATTCACACATGGATTAGATCCAAACATTTCTGAACAGGTGAGGTGTGTCTGTACTAGTTTCTCTCTAAATTAATTCCATGTTGGGACACTCTTAAGTACTCTTAATACCGTTTAGTGCTATTCTGATACGAGAGGGAGGCCTTTGAGCTACCCAAGTTTTAGTTGTCCCCCAAATGTCTCTCCGGTCTCCAAACAGACTTGTGGTAACACTTGGGCCCTAAATGATACCCTGAATGCATCTTATAAGTAGCTGGAGCTAAAACCAAGAGGGTTCCCACAGAGGAGCTGAGAATACAATAAGCAGATGGAAGTACTGTAAGGAGTGATGTAACCGTGTAGAGCTGCTCCGGCAGTTTGAGTCAAACCATCTGGTGAGTGTTGACTTCACTCAGATGTGTGGAAGAATAACAGGGAACGTTTAAAGGTGTGTAGAGCTCCATAGCTACACGATGAGGTCGATCACGTGAATGTTTATATGATATCAACAGCTGCACCTTCACAGTACGTTTGACGCTCTTTTGTAGCTTTTCTGTCCATTGTTCCCCACTGCTGGCGAGCTGCTGTTCAGTTTTTATTGGGCAGACGTCCCCGTCATTCAGAACATTCTCCTCCGGGTTGATGTTCATTCATATTTCTTGATACAAGCCCTCTTTTCCACATGAAGTGTTCACCCTGCGCTCTGAAACGTTCCTGTACAGCGATGCTAACACAGGCCTGCTATTGATAACTTGACAGCTACACTCCTTCTTTGCTTTTAGCGAGAGGTGGGGGGTTGTTCCTCCAGAGACACAAATACAGTAGTGTGATGTGTTGGTACAGAAACCACAAACTTAAGGTGCCCTTTCCAAAACATGTCTGAGACTGACTGTGTCGTCTGAGTCCAATTGCACGGTGTATGGAAGGACACACACGTTCACACTAAGCCTCTAAAGGCAGGCGGTGCCACACTGTGAGGCAGATATTCTGTTTATTAAAGCTTTCTGCATTTAAGATATTGTTGATGTTAGAGATCAGGCATACAAAGGAGGAGGAGGGGCCAAATACAGAAAGACGCCCTGAAAGAATGAAACCAAACACTCCAGCTATTTGAGGATTGTACTCCTTTCTTACTGCGAGTTCAATGAGAATATGCTATCAGTGTTTGTGCTAAGCTAGGCTAAAAACATAGTTATAACGCTGATATACAGTAGATCTATTGAACCAAATCCTGATGAGAGGGCAAAAAGGTGTATTTCACATAATTCTGGAGTATTTCTGTTTCATGTTCAGCATTTTTAGAAGGTAAAAATCTCGTTAACGTACATCCGTCAAAGATGCCTCAAAACCACCACACGATGATGGGTGGTAATGGGTGAAGCATAATGAATGTGAAGGCCCAACTCATTCAAGGAACCCATTGACTTTCAGACGAGGGAACAGGAAGTGTAAAAACGCTGACTCATCCCTGCAGCAGTCTACAGAGAGGATACAGACACACCTACAAGACAACAACCATCTCAACCTGAAGCAGCACATGAACGTCTCCTCTCTGGGGGTGTATATATGGAATCCTGGGAAATGTAGGAAAGTACCAAATGAACGTTGAAGCCGAACTGTGTGGAACTATAATAATGTCGTTAACTGCCTGCTGTAAACATCCATCACAGTTAACAGACTGCTATCTTTACAGGGTCGACCTTTAATCACAGTTGGGGGTTCGATCCCCGGCTCCTACTGTCCGCCTGTCGAGGTGTCCGTGTCCGGGGGACTTCACAGCAACACACTGCTCCCCAAAATGCTTTGGGTTAACTGCAGAGGTCCAATTTGATGTATGCACCTGGATGTATATAAGTTTAATTACAACCAACTATCGGTCGCACCTCTGAAGAAAGTGGTTTAGATAATATGGCTGAACTGTTATTGTTACAGGAATCTCTCTCTCTCTCTCTCTCTCTCTCTCTCTCTCTCTCTCACCCATTGAACTGTTTCTCTTCCTCTCTCGCCCCTCGCTGAAGCAGGGACTCTCCATACCAATGTGCACATGGATCATGGATCAGGTCTTGTGAAAGGCTAAAATCAACCAGCAGCAGCAGTTCTCTGCATCGCCGCATTTCTTTGCTTCAACATACGGAACACTTTGGTCATCTTTGTCGGAGACACTGTATGCACACATTCCCACCAAAACACACATATAACTTGCTGATCAATTCACCAGCAGAGTTCTGTTCCTCGCTGTGCTTTTGTAGACTGAAACAGAACTGCCTTGTTGTTGACCTCAGAGGAACTTTGTGAACCTGTATGTCTAACAACGAGACAACATGAGCGCGAGCCACATCAAAGAGAGTGGACGGATGACTGAAGAAACTGCATTCCAGAGGAACACTGAAGGAGAAGACAGGTTTCAGTGTTCACTATAGAGAAGATCAGGAGAAAGGGAGACTAGAGCTGCTCTATATGGAAACAAGCGGTGGTCAAACGTTTCTCTCTCCAACAATAACAATAACACAGTTAGAGAGTTGTAATCTTGACAGAAACATTTAACACTACCACTTTATAATAAGGGAATCTTTAAAAGCTATTACGTCTTTTTAGCTCTTTGAGACCATCTGGACCAACAATTTATACAAGTTTAGAAACCTCAGGCTTGATGGGTTATCAGTTATTAATGCATTAAGAACATTGACTACTAAGTAAAAAACACCATCAGAAAGGATTTTACAACCCAAATGTTGCTCTATGCTGTATACGTGACCTACAAAGCAGTAAAAACGTCATCTTTCATTAATATATATAGCTACAACTTATTTACCCTTTGTGAGTTACGAGAAGGTTTCAGTGCATCACAGCAGATATTTTGGCAGCAAGGACTCCTGTGAACACACTTCTGACTATTTTTCAAAGTCAATATTTGGCTTTGGGAACACGTCTTGTTTCCTGTTGCAGCATTCCTCACATTTTTTCCATCTCCAAAATTCAGCATCCTAGAAGTGAAAGCGTTGGTTGTACTAGTATATATATATATATATTAGGAATAGGGCATGATTACAAACCACAAACACATCCTCCTTACCTTGTGTTTCCAGTATGCGGAGGTTATAACGGTTCCAGTGCAGAGGGGCTGGGTCTTCAGTTGTTTTGGTGATCCCAGAAGTTCACAAGCTGAAACCCTCCAAAAGGCAAAAGATGAATAAATATCCCAGTACTGGTGCTAATTCATCTCCTCCGTCAAACACTGGTCCAATTTACAGGGCAGTGGTCCATCTAGCAGCCAATTACTCCTTACAGCGGTATTGTCTGTAAATTGCCAGCTGTGCAGCCGTCACTGAGGAGGAGGAGGAGGAGGAGGAGGAGGAGGAGGAGGAGGAGCAGGAGGAGGAGGAGCAGCAGCAGCAGCAGCAGCAGCAGCAGCAGCAGCAGCGGTGGGCTGGCTTTATTCCCTGGAAAGACACTAACTCATTCATGGATGGTTCTGTAACAGGAGGTCCTATCTTGCATAACGTCAAAAAACCCACGTGAATTTCACTTATGTCACAGAAGATTTACAACCTGAAAATATCTGCAAAAATATCTTCTTCGGAAAACATTTTGTCTGTAAAATCAATAAAAAATATCCTTCTATTGACCTGCAGTTGAAGCAGGTAGCTTGGACGTTAAGGGGACTAAAATTCAATCTCCAATGATGTCAATAAATACCTTGCTGGTGAAAACAGGCGAGCATATATGTTGTAACATGTAACATTATGCTTCCCCCTAACTGTAGCCTTAAAACGTACAGTTTGGCCTTTCAACAAACCTTTAATTTGAAGGAATAATTCGACTTTTCGGTTAGCGTATCAACGCTCGCATGCTAGCCCGTAAGGCTAAATTAGTTAGCTTGCTCATTAGCAAACTGCGTAAATAAGCTAACCGCACTTTCTCTCATAGTTTAATGTGATGTTGTGTTAAGCAGCTCTTCGTTTGTGTTTTTAACTGTAATCCTGGAACATGGAGAAGATGAATACAGAAGGCACAACAATTGTGACTGACTTTCACACCCATAATATCAAAAACTTTCACCGCAGATGCTCTCTCCTCACTACAACACTTTTACTGGCTTTTCGGAAAAAAACTCCGGGGTTTCTAGGCGAACTTCGTCGAACTTAGCGAAACATTCCCGCGTCGCCTGGAATCAGAAGCGATGCGCTCGTGTCTCATAGAAAATGAATGGGGGTGAACTCCACCTCATGTTCGCCTTCAGTTTGTCTTTACCATAAATGAGATAATACTGCATGGTAAACACAGTAACTAACAGCCGCGGCTGGTCAATAGAGGGCGCTAGGGCGCCGCCCCACCTTGAGCCACAACAACTAAAATAAAATGAATAATAATAAACTATACAAATTGTCAATATTTGTGTTTTTGAAATATGGAATCACCAGTAATATGTGTAAAATATGATATCTGCGGTAAATATATGCTTTTCCTGCACGTCCTCTCCGCGCGTGCACGTCTCAGCAGCTCTGGGGCGCTGGAGAAACTGCCCAAAAGAGGCGGGGCTATGAAGCAGTTTAGCCAATTGCTGGTTAAAGATATAAATGTGTGACATACAATTTAACCAATCAGCCAATCAGCGTCCTCAAATAGATTCCGCTTGGGGCAGAATGATTATTTTGTATAACGAGAAGACTGCTACCTGGCACTATCTATCTATAGATATAGATATATATATATATGATAAAAAATAGTTTAACAGCTTCAACATTAAAGTAATGTAAATATTAATGCATCAATACTTATAATTCAATATATTATTCTGAAATTAGCCATTCTGCGTGACTACTTCCCTTTAGTTTAAGTATATTTTGATGCTAATACTTATGTACTTTTAAAATTGTAAAAGACTTTTACTTGTAACAGAGTATTCCACAGCTATGCTGGCTCTGTAGAAAGGTGACAACGAAAGCAAATAAACACATTTCTCCACAAGTTGACACAAAGATATGAAAGGCATGTATTTAATAGGAACAATTAAATAGGACATTTGTCATGACTGAAAAAAAATTTTCTTTGCAATGTAACATTACAAGCAAACAGTGGGACACCCTATAGAGTTACAGTTTCTCTCATTTCAAATCACATTGCTGAACACATTAGTGTATTCTATACAAACACATGACAGGCACTTCATTTTAAAATCAACTTACTGTATATAGAACTTTCAGATACATTTTTGTCAAGTAACTCATTTGTGAGTGAAATCTCTTTTAGAAAGTTGAGGATTCATTCTGGTCCCTGTAATCCATCGGTGGAAACATTAAAGTGGGACGGATAAGCATTCAATGAAATGATGGGACAAATAACTCTGATAACAAGCATGTCAGAGACACAAGTTCTACCTTCAGGAAGCCTGACTAAGACGTACAGTGAATTCACAACATTTAAGTACCGACATGCTGAACAAGACAAACGTGGTTTGGGATCACAGGACCTCAAGCCTCCATTGGAGGGATGCATCACGTTTCTGCATTAAATGAACCTTTTTTCTTATTAAATCTGGGGAAAACTCAGGGATATAATGCCCTCATTGTTACCTCAATTCTCACATTCATCAAAATCTATTTCCACTTGCTCTGATTTCCCTCTAGAAGGAGAGAGATGCAGTGGCTCAAGGGCACTTCAGCAGGGCAGGGGTCAGAAAGGGACTTTAAATGTATCACTTGGACTCTACAGTCCAGTCTCACGAACCTCAAAACTGATTGTCTAGATTTTCTGATACCTGCACTGTTACAAAATGACAGCCTGGAGTAAACAATTGGGTTCATAAATGTTACACACATTAAGATCTCAATTGCTGACAGTAAATAAACGCCACGCATTCTATAACAGTAACAGTGAACGTCTCCTTTAAAGAGGAGTATCAGATGGATGGGAGTGCTATCACGACAACGTCTTGCCCGACAGTCTTTACATTTTAGTTCAATCGTCTAAAGTCTCAAGATATCATCCACGACTTGGTTGATTTCCCATATGTTGTTATTTAGGACTGTAAGTATGTAGGGATGACAGGATTAGTCAATAATAATAATAATAATGTCCTGTTTGTAATTAAATCAACAACATATTCAGGAAATAAACAATGATGAATGACGCTTTACTGGTAAAATGTTTCCTTTAAGTTCTAGCCACCAAATGATAAACTAATAAGAGAATTGAACAACCTTCCATCCAGCTGTTCCTAAGTAGGGTCAACATCAGGCCCAGGACCTGAACCCTCTGAGGGGTGAATGCAGTCCTTAAGACTTTGTGATGACGAGTACTCTTTAAGTGTTTCAGGCTTGATTGCTGACGTTGAAATGTTTGACAGTTTACCTGCCACAGCCACAATTTAGCAGTAACTGGCTGGTGGCTGACGCAGCATCCCAGTATGGAATTAATTCTGGTCAGTCTAAAGTGCGAAAGGTTTTTGCAGCAGATTGACAAGTACTTCTTTGGATGTAGAGTGGCCCGATTAGGACGGATGCAGAAGCTCTAACAGGGCTCCAACTGCTCCGAAGTAGCCCTAAAAAACAAAAAACAGACAATAACCGAGTTAGAAATCACACGAAACTGCAATTTAGGTCTTTGAACAAGGCCAAAAAGAGAAAAAAATACATTTTTAGTCTCTTTAAACCGTATGACTTATTATTATTGACTTATGTAACTGATTGTATTTGTTGCACATGTACAATTTTGCTCCATTTAGTGTTACCTCCCTTTGTAGCTCTGTAGTTTGAAGGGTGTTCTATAAATAAAGCTGTTTTATTGTTACAGTTATTTACCTCATGCTGTAGGAAGAGCGCCTTGAGCTGTCCTTTAGACCAGTAGTCCATGGCGTAGGCCAACAGCTTCATCGAGAGCGTGTTCACTCTCAGGAAGTTACCCACAAACACCACTCGCTCTATGTTCTGAGGGGGGAGAGAGAACGAGGGGGATGAAACAAGTTGGTTAATAAGTTTATCTGAAACGGTATCAACACAAATGACAAATATTATTCACGAGTCAAACTGTGAAATCCATTGAGGCAGAATTCAACCAAGCAAAATGGTTGTTACAATAATAATATGACTAATTTGTGTATATTAAGTTATATATTCCTTATTACCGTTAGGTCACAGCTAGTTATCGTAGTAATAATAGAAGCCATACATAAAGCACCGAATAATACCCTTCACTCGTCAACGCAACTAATAAATCATATCGACATAAAGCTTTCCTTGAAATGGTTTTGGGTGGGACGCCCTCTGCTTTAGGTGTTGAACGCTCCTCTACGCCTTCATAGCCCTGTACAATGCTGCTTGATCAAGATGACACAAGGCAGCACCGTAAAGAGGCTGAACGCAGAGAGGGAACGAGCAGCAGGGTCCACAGACAGCTTCATCTAAAGCACCTTTATTTGATCACCAACCTCATTGAGAGCACACATCCTGGTGATGGAGCCGATGTTGTTGGTGATGGTGACCAGTGTTGCCCTGGCCAGGTCCTGTTTGGACACAGACTCCCTCTTCTCTTTGGACATCATGTTGCCAAAACTGTCAGATCAAAACACAAGCCGTATTAGATGAACAAACACAGGAACGTTGTATAATCAGGTGTTGGTATTCGCTGGGTATTCTATTCGAGGATGAAAACAACTGAAATCAAGGAACTAGATGCGGGAATCTGTAGGCACCGCACGACTCCATTCAAACGGCTACGATGCGATTATAAAACGATTATTGATTCATCAAAATACTTTATTTTTGTTCTCACTGTGAGGATCTGCTATTTTTAAAACACTGCATATTTGTAATGATTCATAATTTATAAAAAAAAAAACTGATGAATTTACTTCCATTATCTTTTATTAATTAAATATTATTAACAAATAGAAGAGATGTGTCAGCTGGAATGTTACATTGCCACGCTTTGCACAGAGAACCAACAAGTCATGTGACGTAATAAGCTGCTGTTATTCACTAATAAATAACAAAGACTTCTCTTCAAACAGATGCTGCTTTTAGAGGCAATGAGGGTTCAGGTCTCGTACAAAACGCTTTCTTGAACATGTGGTAAAACTATACGTACATGAATGAGATAAAGTAAGCGGTTACAGCACGTTATTACCATCCGATCCACCTTCCTCAGTGATGCCATGACTTTAACTTAGTGTTGGTTGTAGAGTATCGAGGTGTCCGTAACAACGTTGAGATGCATGTTGTATCTCGGTTCCAATGTGTGCAACAAAGCGTGAAAGCTCTGATTCTCAATTACTGAGTATGGGCGCAAATCCATGGCAAAAAAAGTTGCGACCTACTTTTTGATTGGCTTCAGCCTTCCTGAAGAAGCGTAATGCTTCCATACGTCAGGGTAGTCCGGTGGGATTGTATCCATTTTCGGCTGCTCGAGCTCAGCCGCCTTCACCAAAACTCTGCTAGTATTGGGTTTAGTTTAACGTGTATTACTACCTATGTTGCGTTCAGGAGCAGCGGTTAAGAATAGACATCCCAGTGTCACAGAATTGTTACCGGCAACCATGGAATTGAGTTTTAAATTTCCGATTATTGAGTTTTCTGCCTCTTCAAGAGAAAATCGATGCATCTAAGAATGGATTCCCCCCCCACCGCTAACAGGACCTGCAGTAAATGTAGCACTGTCCTGGTTCACAGCTGTGACTGTGTTTGTGCTGGACGCCACCAAAAACACTTGTGACCCACAGTAGGGAAAAAAACAAAAAAAAAAAAAGCTGCTGTAAACCGCACCTTGAGGCTACAGCCCAACCTGGCAGCCCAAACCTCTCATAGTTTCCTCCATAGATGTCCTGAACCAGCTTGTCCACTCGTGTGCTCTCCCCTTGAGAAGCCATTTCTATTGCTTCCTCGAAAGTAGAGCAGCCAGTCAGCAGGCAGCACAGGCCCAGGAAGGTCCCCCCACCGAGGCTGTGGACACAGAGCAACAGAGATATTCATATTCTAGAAGTGTCAGCAGTCTGGACTGAAAGTCTAGAATTGGAGTCTAAAATGAAGGGCAAAGAGAAAGAGGTTTTGTATATTATACAGACGCTCATCTAGTGTTTCTTTCTCAGCACAAAGGGCCATTATGTCGAGGGACAAGTAAGCATTCATGAGTCACCAGACAGAGAAACCACATTCAAACAAACCAGTGGAGAGGCGGAGGAGGAGGGAAAACTTTAAACTAAACCCAAATCAAGCTGACAAAGAACCATTTTGCTACAGTTTAGTGAGGGAAGTGGTTTGGTAGCAGACAGCTAAAAACAAATACTGCTACTTTTCACAGCAAGGCTCGAGGGAGACACAAGGGGCAGACGTCACCAAGCAAGCCGCCCACTTGACTGGACCCACCTGCAAACCCCTGCATCACTTTAACCTGGTATCAGCCTGCGTGTGGCTCGCTAGAGTTAACTCACGCTTTCCGTTTTTGTTTTTCTGCTGACACAAACAACCATATGTCTTTAAATGTTTAAAGCTACACTCGAAAAAAGAGTTTCGTTGTTTTCTTTGCTCATTCTTTCAAGACTGTAGAATATTATCTGACCTACAAATGCTTTCTTTAATCTTTTTAAATCTGTGGCCGATGAAGGCCCGACTCATCATGAACATATAGGAATTATATTTTGGTTAAATGGGAGCAGCCTGCTTAAAGCAAACTGCAGCAGGCCCAGTGGATTTCCACTAACGTCCTACATAAGCAACACTGGCACCTCATATGTAAATATATATTTCCATTATTTGAATAATATGAAATGACTCGTAGTCCACCAGCCAACATGGCCAGAGCCCAGTAGATCTCCATCACTGATCATTACCTGGTCCCTGTAACTCGTTTGTAGTTGCTCTCAGAGTAAACGGCCAGGATGCTGACCCCAGACCCTATGTTGACCAGCAGCAGAGGGTAGGGGTTCTCCAGTGTGTAGGGCTTCTGGATGCAGCGGTCTGGGTCAGTGGGGTTTTCAAAGTAGTAGCACTCCGAGGGTCCGCTGGAGACCACCGAGTCGATGTACAACACCCCCCGAATCAAACAGTCCAGCTCATCCAGCTTGTGGAGCTGCAGGTCCGCCATCTTTTTTTTTTTTCGTGTGTGAGAGGAAAGAGAACATGGATAACATCACTGAGGGTATGTGGTCAGGAGAACAGAGGCGGGAAACCGGGGGAGGGGGGGAAGCAGGGGGGGGGGGGGGGGTAAGAAAACAGGAAGAGTTGAAAGGACCTTTAGTGTCCAGTCATGATTTAAAAAATGGATTTGCTTTGATTTCTAACCAATTGCATGAGGACATGCATGCCCGTCTTGTCCTTGTAACCACTGACAGTATTACTACATCTTCAAACGCGGATTTCAAGTGTTCTCCATCACTGGCTGTTCTGTTCAGATTACATCACATGCTATAAATAGGTTATACTTCACATGTCAGTCTGCTCTTTCCTTCCTGACAATCTTCACCGTCCAAGCCTGTAAAAGCAAACGAGAAGAAGAGAACAACTGCAGACCCACCGTGCGGAAATCAGACTCAAACTTGTACGCCCCCCCTCCTGTGGCGCAGAGGGTGGTGTGGAGGCTGGAGAAGTGCTTGTTGCGACCCATCTGCAGGAAGGCCGGCAGGTCGTGTGTGGGGAAGCGGATGAAGTGCAGGTTGCCCGTCCTGCCGCACAGCGTCAGGTCCTTCAGCTCCAGGTGCACGTCCCTGATGCCCGTTTTCCCATAGGCGATGTTGGAGGTTAGGTAGCGCCGGATGCTCTTCAGGTTCTCCACCTCCTCCTGCTCCTCCTCTGCTGTGATGTCTTTGGGCTCAAAGTACACCAGCTTCACCAGAGTGCCTCCAATGTCCATCCCAAACCAGGGAAATGCTGCATTATGTGAGATAATATTTAAATAAGAAAAGATAATAAAATCACCATTATTTTGTTTTTGTTTTAACATTGCATGATAGCATATATTTCAAATTGAAAGGCTTAGTGACAGTGAGGACAATAGAGCTGATGTCTCAATGCTGGCCGACATAACAGAAGCAGAAGTACAGTGTGTACTGCGAACGCCATCTTGTTGCAAAATAGATCCTGGCTATTTACTGCCACTACAGTTTATTACATTGTAATACCAATACCAAAATTCTTGTGTCAGTTTTAGCTACATCTCAGAAGATTATAGACATTTACAATTTATTTTTAAGGAATTTTATGCCACTCGTTAAAAGGACACTATTTCCACATTTTGTATTTTCACGACATGTATTTTGTATTTTATATACATGCAAAACGATGCGTTTCCCAGCAAATACACCGAGCCCCATGCATGAAACGGTCAACACCTACGCGGCCTTGTTTTCTTCACAGAGTCGCTCCGAAGCCTCGCCGTCGAGTTGGAGGTCCTCCGGTCGGATGTGTCTCTTCCTGCGGGCGCGGCTGCCTCATTGTCGGGCATCTCCTTGTCGGACCGCGGCTGCTTCGTGGGCGTTTCGTCTTCGTCGATATTTTCATCCTCGCGTTGGTGGCCATTGAACGCCATTATAATAACTTAACTCACTACATACATGCTACAGTTTATGATGAAATAAAACCCCTTGTACGTCAATGGTTTACTACGGTCTATGAGCTAGCTAATTAGCTAGCTAAGTAGCTGTGTCGTTAACGGTCGGTGTACATGTCCTTTTTATGTTCGCTGTCAAGACTGGGGTGGGCGGGGTCAGTCGATGATTGAAGGACTCCAGAACCAATCAGAATGCGAACCCACCAGTCAGAAAACAGCTTATAAAAAGAGGCTGATGTCATATTTTTCTTGAATTAAACATCATTTATGCATGACGTTAAAAACAAGCACACTTTTATTTATCCCTTACAAACATCTTGAATAATATAAAGCTACAGTATATCCCACAAACTCCTTTATTTGTATTTATTTATATTCAATTTATTATAGATTAAACAATAAATACAATACAAATTTAAAAATAAGTACTTTTAAAGAAAGGATAGATTTATGATGCTTTGACAATAGACATTTAATTTACCAAATAGCATTTAACAAATTAATTATATATATATATATATATATATATATATATATATATATATATATATTCATTCCTCTGCAGGGAAATTAACATGCACACTCAAAGGATTTTTTTTAATTTTAGGTTTATTGTTTATATGATTGTCAAGTGCATAGAGACAGTGACTCAACATTTTGACAAACCTTAAACTGAGATTACAATGAGATTGTACATGTGTTCCATAATGGCAATACATTAAATATACGAAGCATCTTTGCAGCTCACACAACACAAATTCTCAAACTTGCTTCTATTTAAAAGGAGAAAAAAATCCAATGGAAAAATAAAATGCCATCTCAAAACATCCACACCAGAAGATGGCCAGAGAACACACAGCCTGTGCGGCAAGTTTTGCCCATTTCCAATTTTTTTATTGTGCATTATTAAATTGATCTCATTGCATAAAAAAACTGAAGTGATGTTTACACTAACTCCATGTTTCTGATGTTTTCAAACATCGAAACAGAAGAAATAAGCAATAACCACAAAAATGACCATTTAAAAACCCAGTTAAATATGAAGCTACTGAAACGACATCTCACAATTAACACTCTCTTTGGCTCTAAAAGAAACAGAAAGTGCTGTAGTTTTTAAATGTTTCGGAATAACTGGTCTGGGCTACGGACCATTTAAAACTTGTAAAGTATGTTATTTAAATATACAGCGTCTAGCTGACTGATTCTTTGAGAATTGAGTGCTTTGGAATGTTTTTAACACATCCGTTTATCTTAAAATACCTATACAGTCTAAATATGTAAATATGTACAAATAAATACAGACAGTGCACTAGCCATCATCTACAGAGTGTGATGCTGGTACTCCGTCTTCCACAGTCCACATCCAGTATAATTCAGGTCCTTTGTACACTAATCTTTACTGGATGACAGCCAACAGTCTTATCTTGAAAGTGCTTATCAGACAAGCGAACATACAAACATTTCTATCACTAACAGACAGCTTAAGTGTATCTGTACGTTCCACATATTTGCAGCGAGTGCATAAATAACCTGAGATCTCAATCTCAGTTCCATGAAGTTCCATTACTAATTTAAGAAGGGAAGGTTTGGTTTTTGCTCTCGAGGGAAAACTTCATTCAACATTAAAAAGGATAAAACATGGTCCGACTTTACAACATACTCGTAATTAATGACATGACCAAAGGTCTGGCAAATCAGCTATTATTACTATAGGCAACTACTAAACAGCTGCCTCTGGCCTTTCCAGTGATACAATAAGGCACCATAACCCCAAGATCCTCATCTTAACTTCCTTTAAAAAGGTATTAAATCCCCTTAATTCCTATACCTCCACGCCAACAGCAGTGCACAGGCGCCCACTCCTGCAGCGGTCAGAATGTACTTTGTATTAGCTGGCTGGGTGCAAGAGGCCGTCTTCTTCTCTGAATCCTTCAACTCAGCAGCGGGTGCGGGCTCAGAGGGGTGGCACTCCTCACTGGACGGGGTGTTTACGCTCAATACAGGGTCCACAGTGTTGGTGGGAAGTGGTGGTGCAGAGGCGATCTCCTTGGCTGCTTCACCGTTAACGATGTGAGCTTGTGTTGGGCTCTGGCCGTCCAGGTCAAGGATAGACGGCTCCTCGGATACATGCACCACATGCGTCAATACCTGGTGTCTCTCCAAACCCCGACAAGGGGACTCGTAGTAGTTTTCCTCCGGTTCACTATGGCTAAGAGCAATGCCGTTCTCCTGGCATGGCAGTGCGGACGCTGTACTCACAGTGATGGAGCTGACAGCAGAGCACGCAGGAGGTTGGGCGGCGGTCACAGCGTCCGGTGCAGCATCGCTGATTTCCAGACGCTCACTGTCACCGGAGTAAGGCTGCACCGGGTAGCTGGGTGCACAGACAGCGGGGCTGCCATTATTTGGTGGGTGGATGCTGATGAGTTGGCCAGGCTTGCTCAGACACACATGGCTGTCATCACAGAGAGAGGCGTCTATCCCAGCAGCACCCGGCAGGGGGGAGGATGCAGCTGCAGTTTCTGTCTGTGGGCCGCTTTCAACAATCTGCAGATGAAAATGAGGTCAAGTTTAGCTTTTAAAAAGCAAGCTGGTGTAGTTTTTTCTCTGTCAGGTACGTGAATGTGGTTTGAAAAGACGTTAGGAAAACTACAGCTTAACAGCTCCAAGTGAAGTTGAATCGATCCCTCTCAAACAACATTAGAAGAGTATATTCTACTCAAAAATGTTATGCTGTTGGGTGAAAACACCTATGATTGAGGTGTTATTAGTAATGTAATGGGTTTCATTAAAGGTACCATATGCTAGGTGACTAGCAGCTCTATGTTTCTATGAGTAGGTCGCCGTTTTTTTGTTGTTTTATTAAACTGATCGAGAGCTGACGGCTGCAACGAGCCAAGAAACGCTGCAATGTGAGTAAAAGCAAGAAATAACAAACTGCAAGCCAGCAAACATGAATGTAAATAATGCAGGATTTAAAATATTAAAGAAATACACACAATTAGTTTTTGTCAGAAACACTGAACGAGAGTTGCATTGAGTTACATTATGATGCGTTCAGGCTCTATTCAGTAAAAATGAGGCGCAGGTTAATTGTAACTTTACCATGATGTGTTCAAATGTAATGTTTGTCTAGAAACTTGAATGAATACACTAGTATGAAAGAGATGTTTTCACAGCAATATAAAACAGACATCATGGGATTGTTAACGGTTTAACTGACTAACGTAGAATATCTCTCCCACTGTTGGTCACTCGTATTCTATTGTCATAATGACGTTTCAGTCCTCAGACCTTCACCAAGTAAAAGTCATGAATGAATACATTTAGTTAATGTTTGATGAAGGTTTGAGGACCAAAACAAATAGTACCAGAGACATCTTTTGTGTTTTTATTACCTTTATCTTAAAATGAACATATGTGGGTATTCACCTGTGTGGTAGGAGGTTCAGAGGTCTCTTCAGGCTGCAGGACAACAGCTGGTTTGAGGTCCACAGGAGGGGTGGTGTCCTGGACTGGAGGCTTCTCTGGAGTCATCGTGAGGAAAGAGGATCCGTCGGTGACATCTGAGTTCGTCTGGGTTGGAGAGGGACTCTGCGGTGGCCTGACCTGTGTGGAGGTAGTAGTTGTCTGGAGAGGATCCGGGCTGGGTGGAGCGTCTGTTTCACGCCGGGGTGGTTGATGAGTGGCCACATGGTCGATCGATACCTCGCTGTTTTCTGCGCTCTCCTGATCAGGGATCACACCGTTATCACCAGAGACGTCCTGGATGTCTGATTCAGAGTTTTCCTCCGGCTCCTGGTGAGCGTTAACCTCCCTCTGAGGCGATGGAGGTGTGCTCGTCTGAGCGTTTGGGCTCTCAGGGGACGTGGGAGGTGTTGATGGACGGGCTGCCACTTCACCCTGAGTTGATTGTGGGGGCTCAGGGACCAGCTCAGGTGGAGAAACAGCCTCAGGAACTTGTGGCTGCACGGGGGTTTCCAGAAGGGGGGAGGCCTCGGCGGCTGGCTCCGGAGGAGCCGACGCTTCAGCTGGCGGAGCAACAGCAGCCTGACTGTTTGCACCGCTCTCTGGGACGGGCAGAGGACTGGCAGATGGTGCTGGATGGACGTGTGCCCTGACGACAGTCGTTGGAGGGGAGCCGGGGTTGGAATCTAGGGCAAAGCAAACAACGTTGTCTTTTAAATCCATTTTGAATGCATGTGACTAAAGCTCCTGAGGGGCTAGCTGACTGTGTGATAATACAGTAATCCAGTTATCATTTACTCACTTACTGGAGTTTCTAACGAGCACTCGAGTTCTCAGGAAGAACAGAATGTGCTGAATGTCCGATACATTTATTTATTACCGGACACAGACGCATTGCTTGAAGCCTAGTTCTCTTTATTGTCTCACATACTACTTTGATCACAGGAACCCTAAACATTTGATCGAATTAGTTTGAGGTAGTGCTACATATGTTCTGATCAGAAGGGAATAATACTCAGTACGAGGTACTTGACTTAAAGACTTACTGTCGACGCCTCTCAGAGCGTCGTACTCGGCTCTGATCTCTGCTGCTAGAGTCGTATGCTCACACGCCTCAAGTGCGTCGATGAACTGCTCCGGCCAGTTCTCTCTCCTCTTCAGACAGTCCAGAAGAAGCACCATGCTGTCGTAGTTCCCATACATTTCTCTTTTTGCCTCTATGTTTTCCTAAAATTTGATTTCATACAAAAAGAAGCATATGAATACATCAAGTTATGGCTTTGTTGTTAGTGTACTGATGATTGCTTTAGTGAGGTTTATTGTTTCTGTCATCAGTGGTAATAAACATTATAAAAGCCGAACAATAACCACATTTTTCCTCCAAAAATGTTTCTGATCGGATGTGATGTTATGTCAGAAACTAACTGTACAGACTCAATGGTTTATATCAATATTGGCCAAAAAGAGAAACAGTATTGGTCGGGCCCTAATGCTAACAGAGCTGTGCTACGCCTGCTTGTACTTGTAATCTTAAAGTTGGTAACTTTTAAAAAATTGTCATATTTGCTCAAACTGTCACTATATCCTGACAGCAGTACATGAGACCAATAAACGCTGAGAATAATTCCTCTGCCTCCTTTGAAAGCTCGTAATGGCATTTACAAGATACCACAACACCCGAACCAATCCAACAGACCCTAGTCCTAGTCCTAGTCCTTCACACCAACGAAACTTACCCTGTCGTGAGGAGTCAAGCAGGGCAGGTGGATCATTACTTCTCTCACTTTCACCTTGCTCACAATTATCGGCATTTTCCGCCGTAAGTATCCGTTGTACAGCTTGTCACTGGCAAACGACATCTGAGAAATGAGAAAGTGGACAAAAACACAGAGACAGTTACGATCATTTCTGCTCCTGGCATCAACCCTGTCACTACATGGGAGATGGGAAAGTACCCAAAAAACACGTTCAGGCAACCTGATCTGTATCGTCTGCAGTGATCACTGATTCACTGAGTCGGGACTTTTTACTCAGTGAAACCGAAAGTGAAAATGAAGATCAGACGTCCTGCAGCTCCGGGGTAAAAACAGAAAATGGGACCATTTCCTGTCAGTTTACGGGAAACTGTTCTTAAAGTGTGCGACTCATTCTGCACAGCTGCAACTCTTCTCTTACGTTGTCAAGAGGAGGACAACGCTCGTTCAGGTCAAGGTTGCTGTTGTCTGGCATACGAAGAAGGTGAACAGGCCCAGACTAGTCACTGATTAATCACCTCCACACTTCAGCTTCATAACTGAACTTCAAATGTGCAGCATGAACGTCTCACTCCACACACGTGCGCACACACACACACGGCTTTGTCAGGGTCAAATATAAAGCCTGGGAACACTTTGTATTGAATGCAACTTAAAACCTTCACTCTGTTTGTATCTAAACAGTCAGGTGAAGTAATCTGCTGTCAGTCAGGGGAGGGAGGGACATCTCAGGATTATCCGTCAAATGGAGCAGCACGTTACATGTTAGTGTCAACATGGAACTAATGTCAGAGGCAGAAACCAAAGAGCAAAGTCTTCCTCAACGTATCATTAGCCCTCAGAGGTCGAGCTTTACCTCTCACTCTCACTCACACACACACACACAC